AGTACTAGTAGTAATAGTAGTAGTAGGTAGTAGGCAGTAGGCAGTAGGCAGTAGGCAGTAGGCAGTAGGCAGTAGGTAGTAGGTAGTAGGTAGTAGGTAGTAGGTAGTAGGTAGTAGGTGGTAGTAGTAGTAGTAGTAGGAGTAGGAGTAGGAGTAGTACTAGTAGTAGTAGTAGTAGTAGTAGTTTTGTCAGCAGTAGTAGTAGTAGTAGTCGTCGTAGTAGTAGTAGTAGTAGCAGCAGTAGTAATAGTAGCAGCAGCACAGGTCTGCTCTTGTTACGTGTACAAAATACCTGTGACTGTTAGTACCAGTATCAACAGAAGCGGCAGCGGCAGCAGCACCAGTAGCGGCAGCGGTAGGGCTAACTTTCGCGAGGACTTTGGAGCCTATGCTCCAGCGCAGGGCAGTTCGGAGCTTCTGTCGGGTTGCTTAAACGAATTACTCAGGATTCCCATCTAGGTCCGTAGTCTCGATCATCACCTCCTTCTGGCCTTCCGCTGCTGCGGAGGCCACAGCTTGTAGACCATCCGGATGCCAGAGCCACGCTCGGAGGCAATTATCTGAACCGGCACTCAGGAGCAACTTACCTGAGCTGCAATGTAATGTGTCGGCTTGCTCCTTTCCTTCCCTCAGCTATGTCGAACCACTCTGTACGACGACAACCATGTGAGCCTGGCGACGCTGCGAGCAAAACTGCATGTGCGACACTGCACCTCCATCGTGAGCCTTTTCGATGCTGGCCTGCGCGACATACTCCACACATGTTCTTCGTACAAAACGCAGGCTACGACCTCTGCTGGAGAGTTGCCCTCTGGAGGCCTTGAGCACAAGCTCGCCAGCAACAGCAGACAGCTCCCACATCTTGATAGCGCCATTCTCATCAGCACTCAGCAAGCACCTTAAGTATCAGGGAAGTTCACTGTGGCACCTGCCATTCGAAACCTCAACTCAACTCTCAAGCAAGGCTCATCGTCTTGGCACAGAGTTGCAGTGCAAGGATACCAGCATCATGCGCATTGGCGGCACTGATGCAGCAGCTGAACTTGCCATCCTCGCGGAAGCGCGCAGCAGAGCTTCAGTGCAGCTGAACAGGACACATACAGCTTCCGCGTAACCCTGACCGTAAGAAAAGGTCTCCTGCATTGCACGACCCTTTCGAAAATGGCTTGCTTCTGGCGTCGGAAAGATGGAAGAAGGTTGAACTTTTTCAAACAACAGCTCAAGACATCAGGACATTGCATCAAAGAGCTTGACGCCTCGATCGCATGTTTCATGTTGTATTCGTTTTGCTGTTAAGTTCCAAGCCAAGCAGGCACTTCTACAAACATGGCTCAATGGTAAGCTAATGTAAGCTATGGGGATTGATGCATGTTGGTGCCAATCTTTCCCGCAAGTGCCACGAAGCGACTCGGACTTTCTGGGGCTGGGTTCAGGAGCAGTAATTAGAGAGGGGCAAAACAATTGACAGCCGCAGCCATCGAGTGAAAGGGCAAGGTATGGAAGGGCGCAGGTGCGCAGTTCCATGCACTATTGAAGATCTTTTGCAGCAGTTTCGAGGCTCAGGTCCTTGAAGCCGAACGCTTTGATGGCCTTGGCCGAACGAGACTCCCAAGAGCCCAACAGAAGGCTGCCTGCATCCCGTTTAAAATAGAGCAAGCCCTTGCATCCTGGGAGCTCCATCATCCCCAGCGCTGACCACAAGGCCAGACGCTTCATCGAATTCCAGGCATCTTGCCCAGCCTGCATGCACGTCCACCTGTAGGCCAAGGACAGGCTGAACCGGCGAGCTTTGCAAGATCTGCCAACATGTGGAAACTCGTGTCCAACCACGGACACTGCCACAAAAGGCTTCCTCGGCTTACATCTCCGGACCCGATGACCCTTCACCTCGCTGCCCCCTGAAGCCTCGCTATCCATAAGGCGAAGTCGACCAGGTCTATAGCTCCACAGCCGAAGGTTCCCATCCCTGCCAGAGCTAACCATCACATTCTGCGCCATGTTTGTACCTTCAGATCCAAAGGTCAGGCGGAAAACGAATCCTACCCGCTCCTACTACGTCCTGTGCAAGGCAGGAGGCAGTGAGCACCCAGGCAGGGGGTGCCCCTGCAGAGCACGTTGTACGAAGGTCAGAACAAACATAGTCACAAGCACCAATAGAGAAATTGTACTCAAAAATCCCAAGCTGCACAGGGCCGTTATACCCTCCGGATGGGCATCGGCAGATGTAGCAAGCAATGCGAACGCACCCGTGCTTGCGATGCGCCATGCGCGAACAAGACCATCTAGCCCTGCAGAGATGAGAAGCCTGACACAGAGCAGAGAAAGTGCATAGAAATGCAGTAGACTGATGTCCGCCAGGCTTTATCGGGTAATTTGGCCCAAGATTTCGAAGTCAGGATTGGTCTTGCCCTTTGCGCCCCTCCTGCTGCTGGAGTGAAACTGCAGGGCCACGACAAAGTCTCTGTGCGCTTCCGGGTAGGAGCCATGCAGGGAGAGTTCCTCACCATCGATCTCCCAGGCTTTGATGCAACAGTCCTTTCCAGGATGTCGAACAGCGCAAGCGGTTTTCAGATTCAGTCACGCATTCAACAACCCTCACCTCTCGACACCATGCCCAAGAGCTCCACTCCGCGCTGCCGAAAACCGACTAGCCCCTCGGCCTTGCCAGAGCTGAAGATGAGACCCGTCTCGTAGTTGAAGTGCATAGAGTAGATCGTGTCCTTTCTTCCATAAAACACCCTCAACTCTCAACCACCTCTCAGTGCGTGTCAGCTTGCCAACAGCAGGGTGGCTCGGCTCCTGGTGGGCATCTGGCCAGGAAACACGTGGCTTGGCCGGGGAGTTGGCGTCCAGAATATGAATGCTTCGACCCGAAGACACTGCCAAGAAGCCGTGGGAACCTTCTACCACCACACGAGTGTCCTTGTGCAGAGAAGGAAGGTCCATCCAGGTCAAGATGACAGAAACTCGTTCTTGGCAGTCCGTCTCTCAGCCGTCCTCAGCAAAACCCTCGTAGCTCCAAAGGTGACTCACCTGAGCGAGAACGTTGGTATGGCATGCCACAGACCTCGAAGGTCAATAAATCGCATTTTCAGGCAGGTTGTGCCCTAGAGGTTCTGGCAGCTGAGGGCATGGCGTACCACCCGAAACTGTTCGGGACAAGCGCAAATGCGGGTGGAAGCTACCGAGTCTGCAAGTCGCTAGACCGAAAAGGTCACCATATGCTCCGTATCATACATGCTACTTGGAAAGTCTTGACAAGCCTCACCCGGATCCTTGCGACTCGTAGTTAGCCCGGACACCAGGGCCGTGTCGACAGAGAAGCCATAACACCCCTTCCCGATGGCAAGGTAAACCTCCCAGGGTTGCTGCTTATGCGCTGCCGACTGGGACCTGAACTGAGTTCAAACACCCTTGCCTTGGAGTCATCCCTCGACCAACATAGGCGGGACATGCACGTCGAGAGTGAAACATTCAAAGCTTGGCACGGAGGCTTTTTGCATGCTGTTTTTAGTTCACGACGAGGGCCCGACGTCGAATGATGGGTTCCTTGAAAGTCAGGTTTGCTAGAATTCGTGCGGCCAACTTCGGGCTCGATACCTACTCTCTACTCTGGAGCCGAAAACCTGGACATGCCACGGGAAAGTTGACGACAGTAGCCACTGTCCAACTCCAGGCACTGAAAGGTGCGAAACAAGTCCACCCCAGAGTTGCTGCTTAATCGTCCTGCTTCGGCGGTTTACTGGCTGTGGCCGTACCCACTGGGGCAGCCGTGGCTGGCGCCGCATTGACAGCAGCAGTACCAGGGGCGATTAAGCCTGCTCAGCAGCACAATTCCCTGCAAAACGGCCGCTTCAACCTACTTTCCCCTACTTTCCTGCTTTCTACCAATAGGCGGAGCCAGGCCCAGACCGAAGGCCCAGGTGTCACTCTGGTGTCGCGCCTATGAGGCATCCCGCTCTGGGAATGTGAGGTCCCAGGGCATAGAGGGAGTCCTTGAGAGCCAGAATGTCCTGCAGTGCTCGCATGCTTCCCGTTACAATCCCACAGGTCAGAATAAGACAGAAATGGGAAATGCACGCAGTAGTGGATATAGTGGAAATATTCAGTTCGGGCGGCTTTCGGTCTGCACTCCCTCTTCAGGCTAGCAGTATCAGCAACAAACATCAGGAAGCGTCCTCGCCGCAGGGCATGACATACAAGGCCAATGAACCATCGAGTCTGGCCACTCCTGCCCGACTCTTCGCACGGAAGTACCTCACCACGCTGTTCTCAAACCCAAGGTCAGGCAACATGTGGCCACAATTTTTCAAGGCAAGTGCTGCTCTCTGCATCGATCGCATTCGATCGCTACGAGTCACGCAGGCAGCACGCAGGCTGGAATTAGGGCACTTGTTGTACTCTTCGAAGCTTGCCTTGAAAACAAGCAGCATGAAGATCGGATCGGATCTGTGCCCCGAGCATCAACAGTCTCAGCAAGTGGGCACTGGCCTGCTCCATGATGCTATTCCTTGGCTGGCTGGACTATTTCTTACAAGTCACATGCTGACTCGCTCTCTTTCTTTCGCAAGGTCAAACCCCTCCCCTCGCGCCTGTGCGCGACCGCTTGTAGCGGGTGCCAATGAGTAAGAAACTGACAATGGAAAACGCACATGAAGGGCCGTTCACTCCTTCCTTCCTTCCTTCCTTCTCTCGCTCGGCTCCGTCTTCTTGTCCCCAGCTTGGCCGCGGGCGGTACGAGAGAAAGGATAGAACCGCTTGCAACCTTCAAGGCTTCGGCTGAAAACGAAAACTGGCCCCCAGCACCGGGCTCTCGTCAGCGAACAAGTCTGAACAAGTCCTAGATTCCTAGATCCCCTGCAGCTTACCAGCCCAGAAACACCTACGATTTCCTTCCAAGGCTTGTACCAGGAAAGATGGGTGCTAGATCAAGGTCTGTGGGGGGTCCTTCTTCCTTCTTGCAGATCTGGCCAGGCTGTGCGTCTAGGCTGAGGATGAGGCACGCATGAACCCGCCCAAGAAGCGATGCCTTCTTCGCTACTTCGTCGAAGGGGACGCGGTGAGTGATGTCCTCAATGCTCACAGGCTACGAACTACAATCGCGTCATCTTCAGAGTTTGCTCGACAATGAGCGCTTGGGTCCCGACAGCAACACTGGAATTAGCTGCTGCTGATCGCAAAACAACCTACGCAAGCCGAAGTGATGGGCAGAACGTTAACTGCACGAGGCGACAGCACAAGCTGAACGACGGATGTTTAGCGGCGACAGGCAGATGGCATCGTGCTTTTTCCTTCAGCCTTTCTTCTGCACGTGGCGCTGGCCACAGTCCTTGGATCATTGGAAGTGTCAAGTCGGCGGCTTGCCCAACGCCCCTATGCGCTGTCATGACTAAGTCCGTCGAACATGGTGATTAACCGAAGACTGAAGGCGAGCAGGGAGTGCTATCAGCCATTAGTAAGACGACTGCCGGCTCACGACACGCAGTGACTCATGTTATTGGGAACTTGACCAAGCCTTTCTGTGCGAGGTACTCTCTAGCAAAGACTACCCGGTGACTACCCTACGAGCAGACATGTCGAAAGCGAAGCCAAGGCTCCACGAGCAGCCCCAAGGCAGAGAGCGCGGCCAGCCCAAGGACTGCCTCTTTCGGGGTTGGTGCGTCCAGGTATAGTGCTGGCAGCAAAGTCCTGATCCTAGGGCTTGGGGGACGTGGTGCGTTGTGTTGCATCCTCGAAGTAAGTTCTTGTTTGCAAGTCACCATACTGACAGCTTGTAGTAAAGGATTTAGCTGCTCGAGTCACATTGTCGGAACCCTCATAAGTACAGTCACCAACCACCTCTAACCAGTATCGGCATCAGCATCGTTACACTCGCTGCTACTGCTTCTGTTGCTGTCGCCGTCTCAGCATCTTCGTAGGTTACTAGAATGACTCATGCTGAGTTGTGGTGTGTTTGTGGTTGCTACCGTGTAGTTATCTCTGTACACGTTGCTTGCACCCCAACCCTTCAACAACCGCAGTGGCCTGTTGCAGAAAGACAACCCCAGCTGCACGCAATCGGCACGGAGCTAACGGCTACACAATTCTGAGTTCAGAGGTATCTACAGCAGTCTTCATGTCGCTGTTTTGGGCAGCTAACTACTAACTTGCCTCATCTGAAGCTGGATCCTCTGTGCCCGGCTGAAAACGCTCCTCAGTCAAGACACAGGGTCTGGCATGGAAACGCGGCAAGATCATGAATACAGATGAAGCGGAGAGGGAGCTCTGCGGCAAGGGAAAGAACAGTAGCGCAGAAGTCGTCCGCCAACACAACGACACTTCACACATTCTTAGGCCTGATGCTCCGCCGACAGGTCGCTGCCCCGCAAAAAACACACAACCTTCACCGCAAAATGAAACCGGGTGCGTAGTAGGAGCAGTAGCAGTAGCAGCGGCAGTGGCAGTGGCAGCGGCAGAAGCAGCAGTAATGATAGTAATAGTCTGTGGTAGGTAGTAGGTAGCCGGTAGTGGCAGTGGCATGCAGTGGCAGTAGCGGTAGGGAAGTCTTCGCCGCATGAGTCGTGGCAGTAGCAGTAGGAGTAGTAGTAGTAGTAGTAGTAGTAGTAGTAGTAGTAGTAGTAGTAGTAGGACGAGTAGTAGGAGTAGTAGTAGTAGTAGTAGTAGCAGCACTAGTAGTAGTAGTAGTAGTAGTAGT